ATATATATATTTGTGCTGATAAGCCTGAGTGGTCTGGTGACTGACGTTTGTATTTGTTCAAATAATTTTTTTGGGCAGGTTACAGTATGAAAAATGTTTGTCATAATCATGTCTTGTGATTATTTGACATGAGCTTTACTTTTAAACTGTAAGTGTATTTAATTTAGTTGTGTTAGTTTTGATAGTTTAGTTATGATGTAAATACAATAAAAATTAAACCAAGATTTATAATAATTATCATTTTGATCCATTCATTGGTAATGTCTGACTGGACCTCAGGTCACTTTATGTTGAACAAACTGGGCCCTGAGGTCAAAAAGGTTAAGAAGCCCTGTCACAGACTACATCAGGACTTCCTTGAGTTTAGCCTTATCCTTTGTCCCAAAATGTAAAAACTGATAAGTTTTAGAATAATTAGAGTTTTCAGAATGTAAACTGTTGTATTTACTGTATATAAAACCTAGTATGTTGCATTATTCCAGCTTCGTTTTGTGGCGCTGAGCATGTTGTATTTATTTGTAAAAGGGCAGAAATGGCCTTTTAAATTATAAAGGTCACAGACCCCTGAACTACACAGTGGGGGCTGGTGCTGAGGCTGCTGTGTCCCAGTCTGAGAAGCATACCCTGTGCAAGTGTTGTACAAATACAGCTGCTCCTTTTTCTAATAACAAAGTCACCACGTCCAAATAAACACAGGCTTCTCCTCTGAAGGCCGTCCAGCAGCTGATGTGCAGCAAAAGTAAAAACTGGTTCAGAGAAACTAACATCAACTCAGTAACATTCATCAAGACCAAMCAGTTTGTTTAACTGTGCAGAAGAATAAAAGCAGGAGTTTCTGAAGTTTCAGGTTTCTTCATGTAATTCTGTCAGTTAGAGGACAAATGGAAATGTTCACAAAGTGTTAATGGTGTGAGGGAACGACAACATCAGATCCCAGACTGTGTTGTTGGAGAAAACTCTGAACTGCTGCCCACCTAGGATGAAAGAGGGGATGTTGATTTTTCCTGTCTGAGTGTGTCTTTTTGTTAGTAAAATATCTTGTGAACCTCTGGATGGTTTTTAATCACAGATTTAAATATAAATATGACTAGACTGAGCCCCGCCCAYCCCGTCCACTGGTAGTGTCTGTGACATCATGGAGGAGCAGAAAAACCAAACAGGAGAAACTAACAGATAAACAGCAGCTGAACTGGATCTGTTTCACACATTATCTGTCATGTTTTTACAATAAATTAATAATTATGTTCATTTCATTCAACAATCATGTAAAACAGCAGATTTATACCAGAAAAAATCTGTGTTTATTTCCTTAGTTTTCTAGTGTTTTCTATGTTCCCCAGTGTGTCTTTGCCCAGCTGCCCCACATC